TATTATTATTATTATTATTATTATTATTATTATAAGCCGCTTGATTTATAATTAATCCCATCGCTGACGTGAAGAAGAAAGAAAAAAAAGGCCAAGTTTCTTATGCACCAAGGCAAATGACAAGGAAGATTTGCGTAGCTGTGTGAGCTCAGACAGGGTCCAGACTCCAGGCTTTCTAGATGAAGGTGACTCGAGGTTGATGGATTCACCGGGTCCCACGGCATCCCGACTCACCAATAGCAGATGGGGAACTTATCCTCAAGACGAAATAGCTGTGAAAAGAGAAGATGATTAGCAAAAGCAAGTTGCCATCGTGAAGCTCGCCTCCCTCATGTTCCGGATCTCATCGGTTCAATAATAGAAGGGCATGGCTGGGGCTGCTACCACTAATATATTGGCATGATGGTGGGGGCGGGCCTCTTTCAGTAGTTTAGGTGGAGTTATGTGCCCCCACATCGCTTCATCCTCTTCCTCTCCCCGTGCAGTCATGGCGAGCAACTCGTAGACAAAGTCTAGCCCAGGCGACCCGGCCATTATGTGCTTTTTTAATAGCTTGGATGTGCGCCTGCGATGACTACTAGAACTGCCTCCTGTCCCCATCTGCTCCTCCACCCAACACCCTTCACCTCTCCCCGTTTCTCTTCTTCCTCTATCCATTCCCCAAGAAAGCTCTTTTGTGCCATGTTGGTGCAAAGCTCTCTTGTCCGGTTCGAGCAAAGTGAGTGATTGAGTGCTTGCCTTGGAGGATCAGCTGCGGAGCATATAGTTGGTACAGCTTTAATTATTTTGCTTCTTCGTGGATCGTAATGACCGGGAGCTGCAGCAACGAGCCCGGCGCATCCGAGGCGGACGAGGTCGGGGACGCATCCGAGGCCAACGATGGGAGGCCGGTGTCAGCTGGATCGACCGACGACTCGCAGCCCGTCCGGTCTTCGGCTCCATGTCCCAAGAGATGGTGGATCCTTCTTCTCCTTCGACAGCTATTCGATTCTTGTTCCGTGCCCTTCTTAGTGTTCTTGATTTACTGGCATTAAACTGGGATCGTGGATGAACAGCCGGCGGGCGGTGCAGAAGCGGGTGGTGACGATGCCGATCAGCGAGGCGAAGGGCGGCGGCGAGGGGGCTCCGCCACCGGATTCGTGGACCTGGAGGAAGTACGGCCAGAAGCCTATCAAAGGTTCACCTTATCCCAGGTTTGTACGTATTTTCTTTTTTTTTTACAGTAGAAAGAAGCACAAGGGAGATGGAGAAGAAGATGAAACCGATCTGGTGATTTTGATGGGACGTGCAGGGGTTACTACAGGTGCAGCAGCTCCAAGGGGTGCCCGGCGAGGAAGCAGGTGGAGCGGAGCCGCGTCGACCCAGCCGTGATCGTGGTTACCTACTCCTTCGAGCACAACCACACCTGGCCGGTCCCCAGGAACCACCACCACAAGCACGCCGCGGCACGACCCGAGGAGCAGCTGGGCCAATCCGGCACGCCGGACTCCGCGGAGCGCGACGAGAAATTCTCCGATCCGATCGCAGAGGAGGAGTCGGCGCTCACGGTCGACGCGCGTGGCGGCTTCCCGTGGTTTGCCGACGTCTGCTTCACGCCCTCGGCCTCCCCCTCTGTCGATAACTCCCACGAGCTGCTCTACGGGTCGGTCATCTTCGCCGGGGCCGCGGCCGCGGCCGCGCTGCCCGAGGAACTGGAGGAGCAGGCCGCGGGGGGAGGCGGGGGGGCCGAGGAGGACTCGCTGTTCGCCGGGCTCGGAGAACTGCCGGAGTATTCGGTGGTGCTCCGCCGGGGGCTGGTGCCGGCGTCGTGGCTGGGGACCACCGGGTGACGGTCACCCCCGCCGTCGATCCGATCGAGAAGAGCAGCCGTGCGGCGTACGATTGGCGGATCTTCCTTCCTTTGTAGTTGACGTACATAGATCGTCCTCTTCTTGATTTCTTTTCCCCTTTTCCGGCTTCTTCCCTCTTTTTATCTTTTTTACCTACACGTTGTTGGCTCCAATAATGAATTCCTGTTATACATATGCTTATTTTGGAATCGTCCATGGGAAAGGTGATGTATAAAAATAATAGAAAATTAATTAGAGAAGAAGGAAATAATTGAACATTTGGACCCATCAATCTACGAGTGTTAGGATCAACCTTTCAGGTTTCAGTAGCCACTGCGTGGAGTTCCTTTTTGCTCTCCCATTGTAATTGTTTGCTTGTTCACAAGCACTTCCTTATCCACTGCTACAGTCAGGAGCACTCGGACTTTTCCCATGGGCGGCAACGAACATCTCGAAGCTGAGCTGTATGATTCCCTGAGCCTAATCAAACCATCAAGGTTCAGCTGGAAAAGGTGTCACCATGGGCGTCAGCAAAGGATAGATTATTGATGAAAGCTGGTAGAACAACACTTGTTTATGCTAACGAGGTCATCCATGTGCTTATACTAAATAATAATGGGATGTAGCTTGAGGCGCAGGGCAAAGGCATGACGATTCAAAAGCAAACAAATGAAGCACGTACAGTGACAGGAGGTGAGAAGATAACACCAAAGAAATGGTACCCGATTAGATAAACATCCTTGTCTCCGTCACTTCAGCTGCATTTGTGAGATGCATTCTTGGACAGCGGACGGAAGGTGGATGCTGCCATCTCACCATCCCAACTTAAATCACGTGGGGCCCTGCATGGTGCCCTAACGCGTGGGCAGTGCTGATGTGGTGCGACCTCATTGGGTTTCCTGTGAGAGCCCAACAAGCAATATAATATTTTGCTGCACGACATAAAATCTCACTTTCCTATCCAATAATTAAACTCTGCTTGAACTCAAACTTCTGGAAAAAACTGAGGTACCTGAAATCGACTTTAATTCTATCTGTCTGCCATTCTTCTGTACTAGATGAACTCCGTAGAAGCAGGAGCAGATGAAATCTCTTCCCTAAGAGAGGCAGCAGCCTTGTAGGAAAGGGAGGAAACAAAAGCTACCGGAAGAAGACAAAGAGTGTCTCCACTAAGGACCATTTAATTTCCTCCATCTGCCACGAAAGGACAAATGTGGAGTGCCATTCCATCCTTGACAAAAGAGTGGGCTTCTCCCAGCTCAGACTCCATTCAAACGCTGCTACTAGTCTCATCACCGTTCAAGTTTCATGCTCAGGCCTAATGTAAATCTGGATGTTCAGCATGTCTTGATCTTAAGGGCATAGTCGTAGTCATTACCTTCCGGTGATGGTAATTTTCCTGCCTGTTCTTCAAATCAACCATGACCAAACCTCAACAATCACGACCGAGTCTGAACAAACTTATTTTTGCCATATCCATGTCAACCAAATATCACGAGAAAGCACACTTTGACATGAAGAATCCAGCCAACGAAAATTCTGTATCACCAAACGGATCCAGAAATGGCTAATGAACAGGTTGTTGATATTTTCATGACGATTCCTTGGCTCATCAGGTCTTTATCATGAGCGAGATGCTGCTCCATGGTAGGGCTCTTTGCCAAATAGCTCTGAAAACATAAACATGATAACATTTTGCACCTGCAAAACTACCCATCATGTTTCAATCAGAACCACATTTTGAAAGGGCAAGAATTCAACTCCCACTCTCATCAAACAAAAGAATTTATTTTTCAAAGGAACAAATATGAAACATCAAATACCAAATTCACCTGTAACAGTATCCTATATTGAGAATTTTCTAATGAAAAATCTTGCTAGATGATCTGATACTTGGTTCCATTTCTGCCCCTAATTTATACATTTTTGAGATTTTGACCTCATGGTACTGCTATAATCTACAGCATATACAAGACAGGTGATTGTACAGGAAACAAAGCATATTTCGATAAAAAGAATCCTTACAGCATGTAGATTCTAGCTGATAATACAACAAAAAAGTTGAAAGTTAATGAACAATCAATCCAGATTTTAAATTCAATCTATGGACAGCTTATGCATAAAGATCACTAGTCTCGTTGATTTTTCATAGTTTGTTTTTATAGAGTGACTTTTGTGGAAAATGAATGATACAGACTTACAAATCAGCAATTCGTTCTTCACTGCACAAAACATTCCAATGCTACTCCATGGACCGTAAGTTCATGCTTGTGATTTTTAGCATTCTATAACAGCCTATTTGTTAAAATTTACATAAAAATTGATCTCTTTCCTAATAGCTTAACCTAAATCAAGTAAAAGTTTATCATGATATTAGTGCAGAAGGTAGTATGTCTGTCTCCAAGCCATGCAACACAATATCTTTCCTATTTAATTCAAGTTCTACCTGTTAGGCTTGGCCTAATGTTTACAAAACTGTTATGTCTATAAATCAGAACATCCTGCCTCATCTACTAAGTTGAGCTTGCACCATTAACTTACACTTGGGTTTACATGTTAAGCCTAATCTGGCTTGCATATCAGCATGGATGTTAAATTTTAAATATAAATTGGTCTATCTTCTAACAGCTTAAGCTTTTGTAAGCCTTAAATCAATAGATCCTGTTTCATTTGTTTGCTTTAACTTGCACTTGGATCAACGCATCAACCTAATCCAGCTTGCACATGAGAGAGGATGATGTGGCTTAAACATAAATCGGTCTCGTACCCAACTGCATAGTTGGAAAGCCAACTAAAGATTTATCATTATTTTCTTACAGAATACTTTGTTAGCCCTTGCCACCATATTGAAAGAAAAACTTCAGATTTAAATAGCAAAAATGCATAATTATGGAATGCTCGATAGTATCCAACTTCTACAATATCTCAAGATCTATATAAGAAAACATTTTCAGTTTTTATGATCTAGTGTTGATATGCACTTTGCACAAATTCAACCTCAAATCCACCCCAACAATTTCATCACTACTGCAAAATACTGTGTTCAGCACTTCTAACTGCAATATTCACATATCCCACCAAAGTCCTTAAGAGAAACACTGAGAGAAATTGTTATGTATAGCACAAATTAATGCACTACAGCTTACCATCTAATGTCATTTAACTTCGCGTTCACAAATGACACTAATTAGTGTTGTCAAATCCATGATTTCCAAGAAGCTACAATGAGAAACCATATGTTTAGCAAATTTGCAAAGTATTGTAAGTTCCTTAGTTTATCATGAACTATATACAACATGCTAAGTTAGCGACTTTAGCTGGAATTGTCAGGGAAAGGATTTGATGTTGATTTTCAATAAAAGGTATTAAGGTAATTCAAAATAAAGAGTTTAAATAAAAGAAATAAAGGCATTCTAGTGTTGTATGGAAAAGTGCACAGGCATCAAAAACACAACTTAAGCAATCACAATTAACCATCACCTAACTTGAGCAGCAGCCAACTTATTTTACTGGAGAAACATCATGTTTCACTTTTATCCTCTCTCCGTTACTAGGATTGCAGATGATGCATCATCACATGCCTTAACTGCCTTCTTGCTCACACAATATGGTAAATTTGAGTCCAAGCCTCTGAAATGCATTATGCACATTCATTGCTTCTGGTGCAGAAGTTTCCATGAAACGCAAAGATTCCCTCTCTGAATAAGCCATGTCATTTTCAGTAGAAAAGAAACAAGGTGATGGAACTATGACTTGTTTGTGATGAGCATCACATCTATATTTGGATCTGTGCCTAAGTCAGCTCAATGTTTCCAAGTGTAGCACATCTTGTTACATCATAGACTAGCAATGCACCTACAGCTAAGCGCAGATGAGTGGTGACAGCATGATACCTGCAATTACATGTAGGATTATGCACAGATTAGCATTTTACACTCTGTCCAACTTGTGCTGGACAGTTGCATGTTTCATGGTAATGTTGTGAGCTGAAGAGGAACTGAACAAGGGTAAATTATGGGCACTAGAAAAATTATGCACAGATTACATGAGGACCTTGCTGCATGGCCTCAAAACATATGGGCACTAGAAAAATTATGCATTACTTCCCTCATGGGCACTTTGTGTTACCTATTGCTCTATCAAAGACTATGTTGTAGGTCAACACCATTATGTGGTTCTGTATCAACACAAATTTCTGTAAGTCGCCATCACATGATACCATGATGTGGGTCCAAATCCAATACGCCAATCTATTTGTTTATTCCAGAAAAATGATGAACATTCTAAATTTTTAAAATATAATGTCTACATGAGATTTAAAAATAATATAGAACTAAAGAGTTCTCATCATGTAACCAATGGACTCACATTTAAGCTAAGATCAGACAACAATTTTCAGAAGAAAGCAGATCAATAGTAATAACCTTGATTGAAGTGAAAAACTAGAACTACAACTGGCAAATGAATCATGTATATTCTTGCCCCTGCACAACCCTCTCACTGCATCCAAATGGATCCAAATTTGAAACTAAAATAATTTAGGGAAAGATAAACAAGATGTGCCATTTGAGTTAAAATGTACTCTCATGAAGGAGCCTCAGCATTATAGATACAGGTTGTGCTACAGCCTTATATTAAACAAGTATAGGAAGTAACCAATAGTCATCACATTTTCAAAGATTAGATAGATCATTAGGACCTTCACATGTAAAAAACCAGTGCACAAATGGCAAACAAAAGATATTATTTTCATCCATGTAAGCAACCCATTTACAAACTCACTGGTTCTACATTAGTCCAAATTCAAGTATGCATATATTGATTGTATAAAATTTTACAAATTTAAGTTAAAAACTATTTTCTTGAGGTAACCCACAATATTCTACTCTATAGAAGGATCACATTAGTTACGCTGTATAAACAAGGCAAAGAAATAACAAAAAGAAATGGGAGTACAGGATTTCGATGTCCAAGAAATGCTAAAAAATAGTGTGTCAACTGAAATGAAGAAGATTGAACCTTATGCCAGTTCCTTCATATGGGAGTAGACTTTGCTAGCATCGGGAGATTCCATACAGTCATTTCTATATTATGTGCGCATCTTATAGTTATAAAAATTTCATACCAACCATAAGTGAAGGTTTTCAGTTCCTCTCCTCAAGTGGGTGCATCTTCGGTGAGCCTTGGAAGTTCTGCGACTTGTTCTCCAAGAACTGATGCAGCATGATGACTGATATCTAGCCTTAAAAGCCTTTCCCAACTTTACATCCATCCACTTCCTTGAGAAGAAAAATCAAGCACGACAGCCTGACACCCGCAGATACAATCATGCATCAGCGTCGCACTAACCTTGTATTCCACATTTGCTAGTTCCATACGACGCAAAGAACAGGTTAGAATCAGAAGTCAGTGATAGCAGGAACGTGTTTCTTCAATGTCCCTCGCAAGTCAAAAAGAGAAGGAGAAACTAGACCCACGGAATCTGATCATGCTCCCTTCTGTGGCATCGGTCGCATGTCCGACGCTACGATTTAAATCTAACAAGAGTTCTCCTAATTTGACCGAATGACGAGATGTGAGCACCACATCGGCGCCCATACTTGGAAGAGTTGCGTGAAATCTTACTTCAAGCACGAAAAAATCCCATCTAAGAGCCCGGAAACCCTACCTAAAAGCAGAACGGAAATCAGGTAAACAGACCTCAACGATGGAGAGGAAGTGAAGGATAGAGGACCTCTCCTGGCCAGCGGTGTCCCGAATCCGGGCCTTGATGACCTTGAGACACCGACGAACAAGCTGCGGTGACGGGCGAGCAGGTTAGCATTGCGCACTCCGAGAGTCGCCGACGAGGCGGACATAGTTGAAGACGCTCTCTGGCGCGGGCCAGTGATTTTTTTGGCGCTGCGTTTTGGTGCGAATATTTATTTATTTATTTAAACAGGGAATTGAAATGGATTATAAAAATAAAATAAAATAAGACTTTATAATAATTTTAAATAGGTTTTACACTAATATTTTTATTATGATGGTCAAAATACTATAATGAGCAAGAAACTTTTTGATGGATAATCTGAATATTTTTTTGAGCTAGGAGAACTATTTCAGAAAAATAAATAATAATAATAATAATAATAATAATAATAATAATAATAATAAGCTATTAGTATACTACTCCTACTCCTTTATCCTATAAAATTAAAATTAAATTAAGTACTTATTAATACCCAGAGCTAGCTTGAATTAAAAATATATAGCACAAATATTTGACATATTAAAAGTCAAGAATAAAATATATGAATAACATCAAATCGGCTTTTGACATCTGTTCTGCATAATCGCTATCTACTAATTAACATCAATTTATTCTAATCAAATATTAGAGACTACCATAGGAGGATTCCGATATACTACTATACAAATATATTACCATAATACTAATATATGGCTATTCGACGTACTATTTACATCTTAAAAGAGTTAAATATTTTATTTATATGACAACCTTTCAACGATCCGTTGTAGTCTAGTTGGTTAGGATACTCGGCTCTCACCCGAGAGACCCGGGTTCGAGTCCCGGCAACGGAATTCTCTTTTATGGTTTTATTCGTGTTTTTGTGGTTTGTTATTTCTTTTCGTGCAACATCCAACCTTTTTTGTTTCAGTTTTCTATTTAACTTTTCATTTATCTGTGTTTTGTTTTCCACTATATGTTTTTTTTGTAATGAACATTTTTTTATTTTATCCCCTATTATTTTTAAAAATATATTTTATTATTATTTTCTACTTTATCTATTTGTGGTATGTTAGGGAAAAAAAAAATTGATGATGTCTAAGTTATGATGATGTCTAAATTAGCTGCATGTGATTTGGATCTGTATGTATGAAGCATTTATCTTCGAACTGCCACTTATATGATCACATGTCCAGCAATCATTGTTAGAATTTTAAGGGTTACACATGTATAATTAAATGTATTAAGTCATTATTTTGATTAGTCAAAATTAAAATAATCTAATTAAAATAGAATTATTTAGCTAAAAGGAGGAGGAGATTTTTTAAAGAGTATAAATTAGTGGATATTTATTTAAGGACGATTTTTCGAGAAAATATTAGTATTTCTCAATCGACACCTTTATTTTTTTTTATATAAATAGGACTCTTAATTTAAAATAAATACCTAAATTGTTTCTCAAAAACTTTTCTACTTATTATGGTGTTCTGATTTGTTATAATATTTTTGACGCATTACAATATTTAAGTCACCACAATAAAAACACTGTAAAATATATTTAAAAATATTATAAATAATTTAAATAGATTTTTAACCTCAATTAGATGAATTAAAAGCTTAAAAAATATGATATTGTAAATATCTATGAGCAATGACAATAAAAAAAGGTAAGTCATCTATAATATTTTTGTAATAATATTTATAATATTTTAGCATAATAATATAATATTATAAATATTATTGAAAAATATTATAAATGAGTCATGTAAAAATAGTGTAACAGTTGAAAATTGATTTTAAAATAGATACAAAAATTTGAGGGGTACTTTGGGTTTTTCCAAATTGATGGTATTGTTAAAAAAAAGAGGAATATGAGAAATACCCAAAATATTAGTATTTTCTAAAAAATAACTTTTATTTAACTAATTAATACGGAAAGGGGAGAAAAGTTAGAAAAAAAAAGAGACAATAGATGGATATTTATTTAATTATTTAGTGATTAAATTTTTATTTTAGTTGGAAGGATGATCTACGTGTTTAATTAATCTTATATTTAAATATAATTATATTTTTTTGTTAATTATTATAAAAATAATTATACGAAGTGTTGTCATAAAATTGATATGCGGCACTAGTCATATACCAATATGCATCAACATTTGTTCTTTCATGTTCACATCATTATTTCGACACCATGACTCCTTATCACGTATAGACGATGTCATAATATCTCAATAAAACTATGCTTATATTTATATAAACCATAAGGCTCCATCATTGATGAAATTATTTTCACTGTAGATTAATTTTATAATTATAATAAATATAAAATTAAATCTTTGTTGAGAGATCTAAAATGATGCATGCTATTACGAGCTACATCTAATATTAGTATCATAGTTACTTTAATTTATCGATTATTATAGTCACTTATGTATAATAATCTGACATTCATTCCCAAAAGGAGTCTGAGTTTCTTATCCCCCCATCCTCCTCTTCAAGGGGATTGTTTGATCAATCCCTCACACACCAATTTTTTATATTTGTCTTGTGCCTCGATCTTTAAGAATCAAACGTATGATCTAAATTTCTCCAACATCAACATATGTGACTAAATCAATGGGATCATAAAAGCATAAAGGTTAATCATATTGAATATGATTTGGAGGGATTCCATTTATAGAGAAAGTCTATTCAAAAATAATACGAAGGATAAAATGATGATATTTTATAGGCATTTTTTCTTTACGATGAGTAGTTAAGAAAAATATTTTGGTGGATAAGAAATATTCAGTGAATACTTTCTAGATTCGATTGATGTGATAAATTTAATAATTTAATTTTTTTACATTTGATTAAAATAATAGGTGTCAAATCCTGATTGGTGGTGAACATTATCCTAATCAGAGTCTTAGAGTTACAGTAAGCGAAGCTGATGCCGATGCTGATGCCAATTCGATGACAAATGATTTAGATATGGAAATTTGATTAGTTAAAACATTTATTATGCTAAATTAAGAAAAAAATTAAATAGGATTAGTTAAAACTATCAATATTATTAATGTGATAGCATTATAAGCATATCACATGCCATCAAGATTGTGAAATGAGCTGATGCTCTGTCCCGATGAGGCCTACCATATATGGACGTGTCGAGGAGCGGAGGTGAAGGGCACAACCGGTCTCTTTCTGGGCTCCAAATCCCGCGCCTAGTCCGAGGCGCCAACCAGGGAGTATCGTCTTCCCGAATGGCCAAGCTACCGGGCCCACGGTCTCTACCAATGGAAAGGACGAGGTCTTGGATCGAAGCCGCCCAAACCCCCCCCCCCCCCACCGTGAGCGTGGCCTGCCGTGGCGGTTCATCCGCAATTATTGGGCAGCTGCCGCCTCTTCGTCGTCGTCACCGGTCATATAGCCTTCTCCGCTTCCCCTCCTCCTCTTGTGATACTATGGATGCCCTGGGAAACGGGGGAGGATTCTGGTGGTGGCAGTTTTCCCCGCGCGACCGCAAGCACCGTCCCCGGAGGAGGCCCAATTCCTCCTCCTCTTCCTCGGAGTCGATCGATCTCGGCGAGCGTGGGTGGTTTCTCGCCGACTTCCCCCTCAAGCAAGCTTCCATCGCCGCCTCCCTCACCCTCACCGGTGACACCGTGGCACAGCTTAGGGACCGCTTCCTCGTCCACGCCCGCCGCCCGTCCGATTCCGATGACAAGGTCAGCTCCTGGCACTGATGATGAATGTTTAATTAGGTATGGTCTAGAAACCCTAGTTTCCTCCTCTTGTTTACTGTCAGTTTCTTGCGCTTGCTACGTGGTGCGGGTAGCATTCGATGAAATGGCTGTCTTTGGTATCTAGGTATATTTGCTGCTTACGCTACGTGTTCTGGACCTCCTTTCAGGCAGAATGTAAATTGAGTGTATTAGTCATCCATCAAATGCCCATTTGGGGCGACTTAAATATCAGACGACGAGGGCTGTATTGGCTTTCCGAGGCCCCCGCTCGTTTTGTGGATTGTATGAAAGGATTTGCACCACAGATCCTGTTGTTACCTTAGTAGATCAATACCTTTTTATGCACTATGAATGTTCTCCTGCAGCAGTCTCCGTAAACTAAACTTTGCGATGCACATAAGTTTGTTGATGAAATGTCCATTAGACTTAAAATTCGTATGCTTCCGAACTTCACCTATAAATGCAAGCATACACCAATTTTCTTCAGTTGAGATGAAAGGTTTGGGTAACAACTTTTGTTTATCTCGTTAAAATTCATTTCTTATAATACCATTTCTAGACACATTTTTGTGTGCATATGAAGAACTCTATTATTTTTATATCTTTGTTTTTTTACCTCTTTGATACTCTAAAGTTCATGGATTACTATAACTCATTGCCAATTTTGACGATTCTTCAATTTTATTTCTCCTTCATCCATGTCTTCCTTGGTCCTTCAAGCAACTCCTTGCCTTGAAGGTTTATTTTTTAAGTGTTCCTGTAGAGTTGTTCAGTTGAATCGCTCTATGATGCAGCCTTTGGTTGCTCATCAGGTTCTCTTGGATTGTACATCTTTGAAAAAGTTTGTGTAGCTTCTATTATCTCTGAATTAGGTGGGATTTTGATCCTCTCAATCTTCTTTGTTTTGTTACAAGATCAGGATTCAATAATAGTGGCGTATATTCTTTATATATTGCAGGTGAAACCTATTCAGATAAATCATATTGCCCTTAGCATGACGATCCATTTATTCTCCTGCTTTCTCTGAATCTGATCCACTAAATATTTAGCTAGCTCCTCATGGTGATAGAAGTTAATATAAATAGCAGTTATTACTAAAAAATTCTATATGCATATGCATATACACTAGCTGGTGATCAATGTTCCTTTCTTTAATAGTATAAGACCTATGAATGCTTGGAGATTGATACTTATTGGGGTGTATGCCTTATACTTCTTCAGTTGTCCCCAGTTAGTGATTTATTAGTGATTTCTCTTCCACTGAATTTGCTCAATATATGCATATTTTTGGTAGAAAGGGCAAACATCCTTACCTCTGGAATTGAGACATTTACAGGGAGTTGCTTTATTAGCTGCTGCACCACTGCATGCCACTGAATCTGCAGCACTATTCCCTTCATGACAAATATGCATGCAGTGCAGATGAATCCTCCTACAACATCGTAGATGAATAGAAAGACAATAATCTCCTTTCGTAATAATTGATTCAACAAACTTCTCTGTATATTGAAATGATGATTCATATGGTGCCATGCCTTGTATATCATAAAATTTTTCAGACAGTGCTATGCAACTGCGCTTTAATATGCCTGTTTGTGATGAATAGTTTTCTTAATTGAATATTATATTCTTGGTTATTTGTTTGAATTTACATTATTTATATCTTAGAACTGACACATAATTTGTTTTTATAATATAATATCAGCACTTTTCTTGTAGGAAATAGTTTCAGCACTTTTTTCAAATCATGATTGGCTTCGTGCACTACGCATGGCTTCCTATGGGTTTCTTCTTTATGGTCCAGGTTCTTATGCTTGGTATCAGTTTCTTGATCATTGTATGCCCAAGCCAACTTTTGTGAACCTGTCAATGAAGGTAACTTTTTGTTTGACTATTGAACGAGTAACATCACGGTCAACTTTCTAGATCACTTGATTTTTAAGTGGATTTTCATTTAGTTGCTTCATCCTGTGTTAGGTCATATTGAACCAGATTGTACTTGGTCCATGTGTTATTGCTGTGATTTTTGCTTGGAACAATTTGTGGCTTGGGAAATTAGCAGAGTTACCATCCAAGTATCAAAAAGATGCCCTTCCTACACTTCTCTATGGTGATTGTCTTCTTCCAATTTTTTTGAATTGCTCCTTGTTTCTATTGGCAGATATATCATGATAACTCAACTAATTTAATGTTTATGTTATCTCAATGCAGGTTTTAGGTTTTGGATTCCTGTCACTATAGTTAATTTCACGTGAGTTACCTTGCCTATTGCCCGAGAATATCTTCTACAGTAGAAATCATGGTGCTTATCTGTATATGTTAAAAGTTGGTTTACAAAATTTTAATGTTTTATCAAATAAATGCACTAATAATTGAGTCCATACAGCTCTTCTTTTTGCTTACTGTGGAAAGTCATGCAAAAATTTGGATAAACTTGCTTGTATTATTAGAGCAGCCATCTTACGCTCTTCAGTTGATTTAAAACCGTATAATTTACCTTGGTCAGATTGAACATCCTTGTCACAATGACCACAGCATGTATAATGTGGTGTTGAGCCTTGCCATGTCGTGAAGAAGATTAGGAGTTATGCAATCTTGTCACTACTTCACCTGAATATGTATGTATTCCAACATAATATTCATGTTGACAAGGGTTGCCTTTGTTTAAACCATTACTTGTTAAAGCCTCTAATGCCAATGAAAACTGCATATTGCTTTTGTTTAATCTTCATTTGTTCATGATGCCTGCAAGTTCTTTTTTGGCTTAAGGAAGTCCATTTGCTCGATAGAATCTTTATCTGCGTCCGTTCCGTCATTGATAATCATAGTAACTATAACACCATGCTTTATTTTTCAGGGCCATCCCTCTATCCGCCCGTGTTGCATTCATGTCTACATGCTCCATATTCTGGAACTTCTATTTGTCAACAACCATGAGCAAGTAATCATCGGATAAAGCCCTTGGGCAGCAAATGGCGATGCTTGCTTCCGTAATTTGTGGAGTTAAATGGCTTCTGTGTACTGCATCTCCAGCTTTTGGTTGAGCTTCGTTTCTGAGTTGCACAAGGGTTGTCATGCATCACACCTTCAGAATTTCCAGACAACTATGAAGAGTTTCGAGGTTATTCTAATCCGTTATCGTAGTTTCATCAAGAACAAAGAACATTCTTTTTCTGATGTTCATTTCTTTCTGGTAATTTGGGGAGTTTTAGTTTGTAGTTCTCAGTTTTCGGACAATAGCGTTATGTATCTCGCTGTCTATCAGTTGCTTTGTCCTTGTAAGCTCACACCTCCTTAATCGTGTCCGTGTTCGTTTGTTTTATAAATATAGCCAGTATTGATTGCATAGTATAGACATCAGACCAATAAATTACTAAAGAATAAGGTATGAATCGATACATCAGACCAATAAAATTCGAGAATGCTGCATAGACAAGCTTTGAAATGTAGTTTCTTCTTTTATTAATTGCATGCCGAAGAGACGCGGTAATGCTGCATAGACAAGCTTTGAAATGTAGTTTCTTCTTTTATTAATTGCATGCCGAAGAGACGCGGTGACCAGAGAGACTCGAGGCATTTCACGTTCTCTTCGCCAAGCTGCCACGTCGACCCCTTTGCCCTTTCCTCACCGGACACCGTTTCCGCTTCCCCCCTTCTCATACGTTAGTTGACCCTAACAGCAAAAAGGGCCGACCACTTTCTTCTCCATTTACCCTTAACCCTACCGATCCACCTGCCGAAGCGAACGATCTCGCGGTCACCCTCACCCCTTCTCTGCCACCGCCGTCATGAACGCCTTCCGGTTCGCCGGCGACATGTCCCACCTCTTCAGCGTCCTCCTCCTCCTCCTCAAGATCTATGCCACCAAGTCTTGCTCAGGTTATCCCCCGGCCTCGAATCTCCTCTAATTCGTTCCTGTGAGAAAAACTCCCATCTTTGGCCGTTTTGGTGCTAGGGATCTCGCTGAGGACGCAGGAGCTTTACGCGCTGGTGTTCTTGACCCGCTACCTGGATCTCTTCACCTACGTCGTGTCCGTGTACAACACTTTGATGAAGATCGTCTTCATTTCTAGCTCCATCGCCATCGTCTGGTGCATGAGGTTTCACCCCGTGGTGCGGCGGACATACGACAAGGAGCAGGACACATTTCGGCATTACCTCCTCGTTGGTGTCAGTTTGGTCCTCGCGCTGCTTTTCCACGAACGATTCACGATCCGCGAGGTGCGTCTACGTGATCCCTTCTTCGATTCAGTTCATGTTATATTTCTGTTCCCAAGCTTCCATATTTTGGAAACGGCACCGCCTTATAATGATAGCCCAATAGTCAATTAGAAGTAATTTACTACATAATTTGGGATGATGGCGGACTAGTGTGGAACACAACTATTCATCGTTATTCTTAATAATGGAGCTTTTGAGATGGCTTGAATGATGACTATATTAGCAATGGCCAATTACCGCAACAAAGAAATGAGATGTTCACAAAAATACATGTCTAGACATTCTGAATTGGTGCAAAGAGCAATATTTCAGGGGTGTATGAATCTGGGTGGGCTCTGTTTAGGAGATTTATAATTTGTACTTGGGATGTAATCAAGGTATCTCATGGAGACTACATGAAATTCTTGCTAAATAATAGGATAAGCAATTCATCATGTGCCATTTAGTGGTTTGTTTTTAAAAAGCACATAGAAGAATAGAAGAGAAGACAAGAGACAGGAGAATTAAAGAACAGAGGGCAAAGATGAGGAAATCTGGATGAGGAAATTAGACCTGCAGAATGCTCAAACTGAAAACCTTTATTTTCTTAGTTCTCCAACTAAATGTATTATAGCACAATTCCCCTAAGCAAATGGTCATTTCATTATCATCTTGTCACCACCCTTTACTTGACTTGTACTCGAATTAGGTGTGGCCTGCATAAATTAATTAGTCAATGCCATTGACAGCCTCTTTCCCACTTGTTCTAGTTACATTGACACCTAAGACATTTTGAGTAGGTATAAGACTCCATCATGTGATAACTAAAATCAACTGGATTGGGAGAAAGATAAGAATAGCTGACCATGTACCTTTCCTTTTTTGGATTCTTTCTAGTGCAGTTGACATTTTCAGATTAAGAGCAGAAACTGAATTCTATTGAATTATAATCAGATGATGTGAAAAAGAATACATACTACTGAGTAGAAGCAGCTCAAATGTAACTATACCATAAAGTGAATAAAGTTGAGACTTAAACCTGATGGATCTGTTGGGCATCTAATTTTCCTTGACAGATCTGAACTGGCGTTCTACTTTTTGCCTTATTTGACTGCATGATTCAACTTGCCAGCTCGTTATCTGCACATCCAATTTTATTATTGAACAAGAAGATCGGCAATTCTTGAACTTTTAGATGCTAGTTAGGTCGTTTTGTCTATTCTTAACTTAGTACTTACCTCAATTTCTGAATCCTAATCCTTCCTTTTTATCCTAATATGATATACATAGTCTATCTCCATGACTGTATTGCCAAGACATTGGACATGCCATTACCTTGGTTAACTTACAAAACTCTGCTTTGTATTATTGCAACTAGACCAAGTTGGTTTATGTAAGAGCCTGTTTAATGCCAGCTGATCACTCACTTATCAAGTATTAGAACTCTTTCCTTGGACAAATATAATCATGGAAAGAGGGCTATTCTTCGTCTCGGATGAGTTATATATTTCTGCTGCATTGGTTCTTGAATAATAGTCCAGATAATGGCCATCTTGGATAGATATAATAACAACATAGATGGTTTTATTTTTCAATTGTCATCAAGTATTACATTGCCTTTTGGGTGTACATAAAGCCTAGGAGAAATGCCTTAAGGACTTGGTAATCAATTTTCAAAAACATATAACTTAACATGCTTATGTAAAATTTCTCTTAAGTGATAGTATGACCTTGTTTTATTAGATGACATTCTTCAGTGGAGTAGTCAAATGTACATTTGGTTGCATAGGAAGTTTGTGGAAAATTGTTTAATCTCATTTTTCTTTTTTGATGCTTGTTTAATAGAAAATAAAATATTTGGATAATTGACTTCCAGATTTCCGATAGTTGATTATTTATTTTCCAGATTTTGTTTGATAGAAAACGAGAAGTTCTTCAAAATACTGCTAGTTGTTAGTCAACTATTTTCCCTAAAGATACTAGTATTGTTTTTTCTATGCTCCAACTACAATTGAGGGTAAGCAGAAACCATTTTTTTCCCTTTCTTCAGTTCAAGCAATCTTTTTATGTTCCTTCTGGGGAAATGAATTGATCTTCAAACTTTAGGCCCTGTAATGCTTGTTTACTTGTTTTCTGATGGCTCTTGTTTCTGCCTAATTTCCATATATAATATTATTACTCTTTTAATTCTTTTACTGGTCCATTTGTAGGTATTTTGGGTGTTTTCCATATTTTTAGAAGCAGTTGCAATTCTTCCTCAATTGATTTTGCTTCAAAGAAGCAGAAATGTGGATAATTTGACTAGCCAATATGTCTTATTCCTCGGGTACTAATACTTATCTTCATCGATACTTATTCAAGTTCCACTGTTCTCATAATCTTTCTTTGTTTAGTGAAAAAGTTATGTGTTTGTCTCTTCTCAGTCTTTTCCTGTTCTTTCCTGACTAGCTTGCAACTTAATACCTGTTACCTACTTGCGTGTTTCCTTAGATTTTGTTCCTTTTCCTCAGGGCTTATCGTGCATTTTATATTCTCAACTGGATTTATCGCTATGTCACAGAAGACGATTACAGTGCCTGGATTGGTATAGTTACATCATGGATATTTGATATGGATTTGTTGTTAAAAGTATATTTCTCTCCCTGAATCCATTGCTTTTTGCAGCTTGGATTGCTGGTGTTGTCCAGACAGGTCTCTATGCTGATTTCTTCTACTATTATTTCATAAGGTAGAGATATGATTGAATGTTAAAATTATGTGCACCATATTATCAAAGCATTCATGAAATCAGTCACTTATTGGTATTGTGTTGGATTCGCAGCTGGAAAAACAATGCGAAGCTTCAACTCCCTGCTTGAACCAGGTGCGGAAGCAGATTATACAATCTTCAACATAGTAAATATTTTAGATCTGAGTTTACTTACAAAATACTTGAAGCTTGAAGATCTGCTATCAGACGTCGAAAATTTTGGACCATGGTCCATTATCAAACTGTCATACTGATGCCACTAGAGATTGTAAAGCTCTTGTTATTTTACTTTTTTTGTCATTTGTCGAAGCATAGTACTCAAAAGCTAACAGATCACTGATTGATATGCCTAGTTCAGTGATTTCTGTACCTATGGCGGTTGTCATCAGAAAGAGTTACGACAGCAGATTCTAATACAAATTAGCATGGTATGATCACTTCTGTTCTTCTGAATCTAGTTTTTGATGATGCAAAGTGTTATAAATGGACCTTCAGATGATTAAACCAAGTGTTCTGAGAACTTTCACGACTTATATTTTGTGTGCTGCCTTTTAACTCTCCCAACTTCCAAATGCAGAATACGCAATGGTCAAACCTGTGGAGCAGATATTAAATGCGACTTGGTGTGCTGTCGACCGATTCGAGCAATCAAAATGATCGAGGAAAGTTCATCTTGGAATTCAATCTGCTGAGTTATATCCCAAACAATAATAACATGCAACACTCTTATGAATAATTGATGCAAGCATGAAATGCAAGAAGAAATATATTTTGATTGGCAACAAAGCGATACTTACATATTATTCTTATAATTAGTTATTTTTAATATTTTTAATATTTTATATTTTTAAAAATTATATTAAAATGTTTATATTTACGAAAATAAAATATTTAATTTAATTTTTTTCACACCGTCAATTCTGTTAACGAAAATATTATACGTATTCAGTGATAAAACAAATTGAGATAGAATCGCACGTAAAAAATGTTATGATATTTTTGTTAATAGAGCCGACAACCAAGGTCGATGTGAATAAAGACGTAACCAAGAGAAAAAAGATTAAATATATAAAAATTCAAATACTAAAGACGTAACCAAGGTCGATGTGAATAAATTATGCAGAGAGAACTATTCTTTGAATGTGTGAAAATATGCATGAAATTATTGACACATGAATTAATACTATTATCATTAGTTGCCGTCGTAAGAGTCACTGTGATTAACTTCCATCTACTTATATCGAACCCCAACATCGCCTCTTCTCCGTTCGACTTGCCTTTGGATCCTACTGGAGGAGTCCATGGAGAGAGTGATGGAGCTCCGCAAGACTTCGCCTGGCACTCTTCTCCTTGTGGGCGTCTTAATGGGGCTGATGGCCTCATCTGGGGCTTACGAT